TGTAAGTGTATACCCATTTTGCAGGTTTTCATGGAGTTCGCTAAAGAGCAAGAGAACGAAGAAGAGGCGGTCGGATCACTTAGCACGACTTTTCAATGGCAGAGACTGAGACAAGACGGCCCTGTATCCATCAATCACGCTGACAGCATAGTACACCAGCTATGAGCCAATCCTGTCCAGCTTTCCCTGAAGAGTTGTACCCTTCTTTTTTCCTTTGTTTCTCTGTATCGCTCTGCATGTGCCGTCCTTTGCCTTAAGAGCCTGAATGACATGTGACTTGAGTGTGAGCTGTTAATGCCGAGCAAGACTTGGCAGTTCTTTTTGTTGTTGTCATTTGTTTTTAATGAAGAGATTTTATTTTTTAAATTCTCACTCTCTGTAAATTCTTATATCTTCCGTTCACCTGATGTATATCAAACACACCGTTCTGTTGTTTCCATATACACTATGTCAGTCACTTGGAAATTAATTGCATGGAGCAGGTTCCACATTATTACCAAAGTCTCACTCACATCGACACCAAAACTGCTTTTTGGTGTCTGTAGCATGGGATATAAACTTGCGTCTCTGTGTGTATGGCTATCTAACGTTATCTATGTGTGCTGTTTTAAAGTAAGTTTTCATGCGGCAGAATCTCATTACAGCTATGTGTAAACTTTCAGGCAGCATTAACACTGAGATTTACCAGCATGTATGGGGCTGCTCTCGTTTCTTGTAACCCTTTTTAGGGCAGAGCGGCCCTGCTGGTGCATGAAGCCTCTTCTGTCTCTGCTGCACACGGGAGATCCACAAGACTCCTTTCTCAAACACCAGCACGTGTTTCAGGCTTTCACACAGAGCTCTCCAAAGAAAAACAGGGCTAAGCACTCACAGTGAGTAAGCTAGTAGGTTAATCAAGATGAAGTAGAACTTCTCTCTGTCATACCTTTTTCCACCTCGTCATCAGGTGGCCTTCCTTTAGGAGCAGTTTTAATGTTTAAAATCAGTAGCTTAAGAATGTAGTTCTCTCATTCCGCACCAAACCATGTAGCACTCCAGATTAGTCGCATACTGCTGAGTGAGGTCTTTTATTATTATTTTTTTTTTTGTTAACAGAAGTAATGATACTGTAGGAACCGTGAGCCTTGAATGTACAGTGGGTGACGTTTTATAGAAAAGCATTTGATGTGGGTTTAACGTATCTAGTGTAAGTCTTCAATTTTGGGAGATTTTGGGCACCAGAATGATTTTAAGTTGGTTGGTTCTCATTCAAGAGGGTCCGTCTTTTTGTACCTTTTAGAATATTTTTGTTTAAATGTAAAAATTATTAAATGATCACCTCTCTTTTTGTTTGCTAATAATATGTACAATCCTAAAATTGATTTCTCTGTGTGGCACATTGGAGAATGCCTTTCAAGAGTCAACTCGAGTCAATTTCCAAAAAAATTCTAAACTACAGGCACAGTATTACGTTTTTTTTTTTAAGCCTTAATTGGGTAATACTTTAAAATAAGGTTCTGTACATTAGTTAATGCAATAGCTAATGACAATTAATGACAGTTTTACAGCCTTTTATTAATCTCACTTTATTAATCCCCATGTTTAGTTTTCTTAACATTTTTCATTCATATTTTTAAAAGCATTTTGGTTTAATGGATTTATTTGTTATGAACAAAACTTGCATTCATTAATGTTAACTAATTAAACATTATTGTAAAGTATTACCAATTAAAGTTATTCTTTAATAGCGTGAGTGAGCTGCCCTTCTCATTTTTCTTTATATGTGACCCTGGACCACAAAACCAGTCATAAGTTGCACGGGTATATTTGTAGCAATAGCCAAAAATACATTGTATGGGTCAAAATTATAGATTTTTCTTTTTTGCCAAAAACCATAAGGATATTAAGTAAAGATCATGTTCCATGAAGATATTTTGTAAATTTCCTGCCGTAAATATATCAAAACATAATTTTTGATTAGTAATATGCATTGCTAAGAACTTCATTTGGACAACTTTAAAGGTGTTTTTCTCAATATTTAGAATTTTTATTTGCAGCCTCAGATTCCAGATTTTCAAATAGTTGTATCTTGGCCAAATATTGTCCTATCCTAACAAACATACATCAATAGAAAGCGTATGTATTCAGCTTTCAGATGATGTATAAATCTCAATTTAGAAAATTTGACACTTGTGACTGGTTTTGTCGTCCAGGGTCACATATAGGTTGAAGTATTGAAGCTAATACACTAATGTATTCTACTCTCAACAGGAAGTGTTTTCATTTCAGAACTCTACAAACATGTGTTTTCACTTGGTGCGTTTTTCTTGTGAATTCCTGATTTTCTTTGTCCAGCAGATGTTTCTTTATTCTGCTCTGAGCGATGACTATGCTGAACCGTTTGTTGGTATGAGGAACTCCTCCCCAAGTGCTGGTTCTCTTGTTGGTAGAACTTCTAAAAGATGTTTGCTAGGTGTTTCATGGTTACTCTTGAGCAAATCTGTTGATGGTTTTTATTTTTCTGATTATACTCTGACATTTAACCCTAGCTGAATGTGAAAGGTTGTATAGTGTTGTTTGGAACAGTCCTCAAAAATTGTAATCAATGCCAAGTTGGCATGTTATGTGGACTATATTTTATTTGTATTTATTTATTTTTTTTGGCTTCATCTTACAGTTTGATTTACAGTTAATCAAACTCTTGTTTGCATTGTCTTATTTTTAGGGGCACACAATTCAACCTCTGTAGCATCTAAAGTACTGAAAAGATTTCCTTCAGGAACAAAAAGATGTCCTTATAATAGAGAAATTATGGTTGACATGCACAGCAGACACAGTGAATTTTTAAGGGGATATAATTGTAATTTTTGCACATTTAACCTGTAATGTATAACATTTTCTGTAACATTTAACACTGACCAGTTTAGTCTTTGCTGGACTGGGTTGGAATGGGATGATTATATTGAACACTATCTAACGTCTATTTAACCAATACCTTTATTTCCTCCAAAGTGCAATATATGAATACTTGTGCGTGTGAGTATTTATTGCATTATGTAGACGGTGTCATTGCAAACTGCAATATTAATGTTGTCTGTTGTGAACTCAGATGTGTCTTGCAGTACAATGTAGCCACAAATATATAATCTAGAACGCTTTGCACTCTCTTCCCCTAGTGCCCATTTACTGCCCTTTGTATGCAAAAATTCTGTTTGAAAATAAATTGTATTCAGGATGTTGTTAATTTTTGGACTAGTGGGTCTGAATAAGTTGCATGTTTTTGATTGATTGCTGCAAAATGGGTTTAAAAACTAATTAAAATCAATCAGTCGGTCTGTTCTGCTCAAGGTATTTAATGTCTGGTTTGAGGTTTTACCTGGCAGTGATGACTACAGAAATTTAGTAATGCATTCAGATATATTTGAAATATTTGTACAATTTAAAATAACTGTTTTCTATTTTAATGCTTTTTAAATGTAATTTATTCCTGTGATGCAAAGCTGAATTTCCAGCATCATTACTCCAGTCTTGAGTGTCACATGATCCTTCAGAAATCATTCTAATATTTGTGATCAAGATCACCGATTTGGTGATCAAGTAACATTTCTTATTATCAATCAATGGTGAAAATGGTTGTGCTGCTGCCTACATTTTTTTTTCTCTATAGCATTTAAAATCTTTAAAATGCTTACTATTTATTATGGTATGCAGTGTATTAATATGTGTTTTATATATGCCCCAACTTTTGTCATTAGTCCTGTTGTTCTCCTCTTCGGTGAAGGAGACTCCTGTCATGAGCTCAACTGCACTGAGAGTGAACGGTGTGAAGAGAAACATGGTGTTTACGGCTGTTCCTGCAAGGAAAATCATCACGGACTTCAGCATGACTCTTTTGGTTTGACTCATTCCACAACAATGTTTCATTGATTATGTTTTTGTTTTTGACATTCTCTTGGGTATTTTCTCTCTCAGATTTCATTGAAACCTGTGAAAGCAGCTCTGGCTCCATGTCTCTGTCTCGCTGTCAGCTCTTTGAGGCTGGGTTTCCTTCTGACATTTTACACCTCAATGACCCCAGCTGCAGAGGAACAGTCTGGAACGACAGAGTGGAGTTCTATTTTGACAACAATGACCACATCTGTGGCACAAATCTTGTGGTAGGATTCATTATGTACATCCTTGATAGGTCAAAAGAACAACAAATCCTTTAATTATTTTATAGTTCTTTAAAAAGTCCCTTAAAGTACAACTATTCAAATAATATGTCCCTACAGGCCAATAGCACCCACTTAATCTATGAGAACTTTATTGTGGGGGAGCCAAACTTAGTTGGGCATCACATCAGCAGGGAAAGAATTCTCAAGCTTCCTTTCAGCTGTGTTTACTTACAAACCCAAATACTCTCCACAGACATCAATCCTCTGGAGAAGTGGGACACATTAACTTTAGCCAGCTTACTAACTGAAACTATTAATTATACTTGTTTGTAGTGGAAACATATCATGTAAAATTATTTCAACAGCACTGTGCAGTGTGCACATGAACCTTCCTGCTGCTCAAGGGACATATCAGGTCAGGATGATTTCATATCAGGATGCTGAATTCTCCCACCCCTTCACTGGTAGTGTGAACGCAGAGCTGAATGAACACATATTTGTGGAAGTTCGTGTTGATGGAGTTGACAGCCGTCAGTTTGCCTCAGTGATTGACACGTGTTGGGCTACACCTGTGAATGATCCTCATTACCCTCTCCGCTGGGACCTCATCATTGACAGGCAAGTCCATGTTTTGTTTGATTGTTTGTCTTCACTTAGTATTTGTATTGTGCAAACCGTCAACCTAGTAAATCTTTTTTTTTTTTTTTTTTTTTTTTAATATTTTTTTTATAATCTTTATTATACTGTTCCAAAATGCTCAGGTGTCCCAATCCAAATGACGATACAGTGGAGTTGCTGCAGAATGGTGTTTCCACATCCAGCCGTTTCTCCTTTGAGATGTTTATCTTCACTGCAAACTCCACCAAGGTTTACCTGCACTGCGCTATTCACCTTTGCCTTCTGACAGACAATCACTGCTCGGTGGTGACTGTACAAATTAATAAGTAATAAAATGCTTCAGAGTTTTCACATGGACATGGACATGTTTTTATTAGTAAATGTTGTCAATTTTACTTTTGCGCAACTGTCAATGGAGAAAGATGCTATTTGTTTCCTATTGTTATAAAGCAGTTACAACATCTACCAGTATGGGCTGATGGGGCCATGCTGACTAGCAAAACCTGAACCCATTGGTTGACACCACTGACAATAACTCGAAATTGAAACAAATTGGTTGTCTTTTCATCTGTTTTTAGCACTGTGACTCTGAACACCACCATAGAGAGGGCAGATCTCTGGACTTCCATAACAGTACTTCCATATCCCTTGGTCCGTTGATGTGGTCTGACAGTAACAAAGGTAACTTATGAAAAAAAAATATATATATACTGTTTATGTATATTTTAATTCAGCAATATCACGAGTGCTGTAGTTCCACAACCCTCACATACTCTGGTCTGGAACAAGTGGATGCATAGGAATGATGCAAAAAATAAAAAGGGCTGTTAAATAAATATCAGCACTCTTGAAGTGCTGCTTGCACAATCAATTAACTGACTGCTGTGTAATTTCTGTTCCCAGATACACCGGTGCCACGCCAAGTGCTAGTATCCAGGGCTCCTTGCCTGTTGTGTTCTCTGACTATATCACTTATTTCTCTGATGAGTTTCCTGATATTCTTCTAGATTATTTCCACTAAGAATCACCCTAATGTTTTACACATCTAGTCTTATCTCTTTCTCAACGAATGTGCCACTGATCTCAAACTGTTACAAGCTTTCTATAAATGTGATCTTTGGGTGATTAGAAAATCACAATATATCCTTTATAATATTTTATAAATCAAACAGTCTAATTACTATTGTGAGGATAAACGATATTAAAGGTGGGGTAAGCTATTTTTCAAAAACGCTTTAGAAAACTGATTCGGGCCGAATAGCAAAACAAACTTGTAGCCAATCAGCAGTAAGGGGTGTGTCTACTCATGATGTGGAGGAGAGAGCGTTCAGTGCACGGGACGGACATTAGCCGAGCCGAGCGACAGAAAGATAGAGATGGCGGATAAAAAACAAAAGAGGATAACGTCTGCGGAACAAAAGAAGGCATAAGGCAAGAAGTAGGACCCGTGTAAATATCGGATCAGCTTTCCAGCGCTGGAGAGAACTCAAGCAGTGGAAGGCCTATGTCAACATTGGCTACCAGAAATCGCTTACCCCACCTTTAAATAATCTCAATAAACTAATCTCATTAAACTGATTTGCTCTTTGTTTTTGATGAGATATTTGTCATTGCTCTGTGTTTGAGAGTGATTTAGTTTTTACTATTGAGTGTTACACTGTAGTTAGCTAAGGTATTATTTGTACTGAGTCAGGCTTGGGCTACATCCTTTCATAAACCAAGTAAATCAGCTATATACACTCACAGAGACATTTTATAGGTCAAAAGCTGTTTTGCAGCATTTTTTTCTGACGTATGTTAGTGGAATAGAAACTTTTCTTAGTGTTCTTGTATATGTTACAAAAAAATAATTAACATAGATGATTGGTTTCTCTTCATTCTTTACTGATACAAACAACTTAGAACTAATTAACATAATGATTTAATTGTTTCACACACTCATTTGTTAATACTAACATGAAGTACCACTGATTCTTTACACATTTGCCAGTTTGAATTTACTAGGCAAAGGCTGGAAACAAAAGCAAGGGAACAAATATCGAAAAGGGACTTTCTTGCTATTGACATTTCAAGCTTTAGTATGTGTGTCTCGCTTGCACATTAAAGTTACTTATTAAAGTTACATTAAAGTTGGCATGTACAATGAATACTGTTAGCTTCTAATACAAGTTAAATTGCTTGTGATTTTCCTCATTTGTAAGTTGCTCAATGAATAAATATCAAACTAAACGGCAGCAGTGCCATAAAAATACTGCTAAAAACTGCTAGAAAATAGGACTCACTCTACAAACAATACATGCCTATTGTTAGGGTAATAGAAAAACGCCAGTTAGATTGTGAAATAAAGTGTCTTACCAGCATACCACTTAAAGTGTCAAAATTCCCCATTTTATATATTTGTAAAGGTTATTTGGTCGGCTGAAGAATCTGTCAAAACACATACCATAACCTATTGTTGAGTGAGGAGAATTTATGGTATGGTAAGACATGGAAAAACACTTGTTTGAAGTATTGCTGAGAAATAGGTCCAGCCATGGTCCGCCTACCATTTAAAAATAATAAGAATCTTAAACCTATAGTTCAACATCACTGTATTTAGTTTGAACTGTTGAAGAGACAATCACCCTAATGTACTCTGCAGCAGCATTTCATCTCAGGTAAAGTTCACCTCATCTGGCTCCACTCATTCTTTCAGTCATCTTTTGATATAGATTATTATACAACAATCATTTTGCATTATTGTGTACTTTTTCTTTTCTTTTTATCCTTGCATACTGATGAATTGTTCGGCAAATTCTGTTATTGTTGCCGTGAAGATGTAGATTTTATAAATATGTGCTAAACAGAACGATACAATCCTGTCTGTGTTTAGAAATCATCTTCTAAATGGCACAAAATTTGGCAGAATAACAAAATTATTCAAAGAGTTTACATATTGTCATATTTTATATTTTAAATTCGGTGTAGTTGTGTGATTTAAAATAATCTGTGCCTCGATACTATTACTTTTATCGATACTATCGGTTCAGTACTACTAGTTTTTATCGCCACTGAGAAGAAGCATTTGCATGCTTGATAAGTTGAAATGTTCATATGTGCTGTATGCAATGGATCACACTGTTAAGTAAATATATGATTATTATATGATAGATAAGGTTTTGCAGTTATGCATGTGTTTTGATTGACAGGATTAGATGAAAGCTCCTCCCAAACTTTAATTTAGAACTTGGAATATCACGTTTAACCTTGATAGTGTTATATTATTACGAATATTGTTTTTACAGATCGGTTTGATGTCTTCATGAGCAGTTTGCAACAATGAGGTATCTAATCTCATTTTGTGTGACACTACTGCTGCTGAATAATGGTAAGTTTCACACCTATAAAAAATACCAAAATGTGGCCAAGAATCTGTCACACAATTAAATAAGTGAACTGACAAGATGCTTGACACACTGCACGCTGCACTGTATCTCAATGGTTCTCATCCACAACTTGACGAGGGGGTGGTGACCCGTGAAGTCCTGGGATATCATCCAAGGGGCGAGTGTGACAACTATAGATCCACCCCCATCCAAATCAAAGCCTGTCTAGGAGATTATTATGTCTATAAACTTGTCAGACCTGATGAGTCAGTCCAAGGGCCTTCATACTGTGCAGGTGCATTGTGAAATACTATTACAATTTAAATCAACTATTTTCTTTGTTAATATATCTTTTGAAAATGCAGTGTATTCCTGTGATCAAAGCTGAATTTTCAGTAGTCCTTATTCCAGTGTCACATGATCCTACAGAAATCATTTTGATATGCTGATTTGCTGCTCAAGAAACATTTATTATTATTATTGTTAAAAGTATATATTTAAAAAAAATTTTTTTTTGTGGAAATCATGATATAGCATTCCAAATTTTTAAGTAAAAAGTAAAAAATTAAGTATTTATAAAGCAAGGGTTCATTAAATTGATCCGCGACATTAAAGAGATTTATGTTACAAAATAATAATATTTCATGTAAATGATTCTTTCTATTCATGAAAGAATCCTGAACAAAAAAATGTATCACCATTTCCACAACACTGATAATAATAAGTGATAATAAATAGATTAGGTAGACTGATAATAATAAGATTAGGATTATTAATAATTGAGCACCAAATCAGTATATTACAATGATTTCTAAAGGATCATGTGACTGGAATAATGGCTGCTGAAAATTCAGCTTTGCCATCGCTGGAATAAAACACATTTGGGAAAGAAAAAAAAAATATATATATATATAATTATTATTTATAGTAATTTTTGCAACACTGCTGTTTTTACTTATTTTTTAATCAAATAAATGCAGGCTTGATGATTATTAGAGACCTCTTTTAAAAACAAACAAATCTTAGATATCTGTATGAAAGGTTAATATTAGTTTTAATTATATATTTTTTTATCATTATTATGAAATATGCTTATTAGCCTGTTAGACTTGAGATGCTCATGCTACATTATTGTGCATCTAGGATATAATTCTGAATCAAATTTGCTCTGAAAATTGTGGGGCAAATTCATTAACATTCACAGCACTTTAACATGTGGTATTTCAGTGCAAAACTTGTGTCTTTTTCACCAAACTCATGAAATCCAATTTAACCATGCGCTAAATGCACTGAAATAGTCAAATCATTTCTTTATTGAATCCGGTGGAAAAAAATGCAAATAAACGCTGTCAGTAGTTGTTTTGATCTCAATAAAGAACTAACAATATTTTTCCTCCTTAACAGTTGCTTTCAACAGCCTCACCAATGATCCTTGTTTCAACTATCAGTATCTGGATCGTCCCTGGAGAGCCACAAATGAAAGTGGAACATTCATTTTTGAGGAATAGTTCTCCTGGAATGGCTGGTACCGACTTTTCTACAATGGAATGGACATCCGAATGCCAGAGACCTGCGTTAATTTGTACAGCTGTAATGGATTCTACAGTCTGTGGCTCAATGGTCCTCATCCTAAGATAGAAGATGGAGTGGTGACCATGGGCATCTGTGGGACTGGTGATGCAGGCTGCTGTGAATTTGTCAGTTTACCCATCAGGGACAAAGCCTGTCCAGGCAATTACTATGTGTATGAATTTGTAAATCAATCCTGGTGTTCAAGTTACTGTATAGGTACAGTGTATCCCCTATTTTTTTCCACTAAATAACCTTTGGATTATTTCTTTATTCTTTAAATAAGTCTTTATTCTTTAAGTCTTCTTCAAATTGCCTTCTTTCAGATGTCAGCACCATATCACCAACAGCTTCCATTACAACTTCAGCTGTGACCGCATTCGACAAGACTTTGCGTAGGTTGACATAGAGTCAAACTGAGTCCCAGTTGAGTAGATGTAATGCGTCTAGCTATGCCTAATTGGGGCTCTTTACATTTTTAAGTTCATTAGAATTTTGAAAGAGTAACATCAATTTGTATGCAATTTGTAACTATAACCATCATGTGGAATATGTATTGATTCTCACTGATTTTCACGTCGTTTCTTTTGTTTGATCTCAACAGCTGTAACCGACACAGATGATGACCCATGCTATGACCACAGCATTCTTGACGACCAAAAAAGAAGCCCAAATGATTTCTTTTTTCATCATAATACCATATATGGATATGATGACATTCATGTTGAATGGGATGGCTGGTATCGACTCCTCATTAATGGATCGAGTGCTCAGATGCCTGAGTGGTGTTTCAGTTACATGTCATGTGGAGGTTATAGTTCACTCTGGCTTGGTGGCCCTCATCCTCAGCTAGAAGATGGAGTTGTTACTCGTGAAGTCTACGGCTCTGATTACGAAGAGTGCAGTTACTACAGATCCAACCCCATCCAAGTCAAAGCTTGTCCTGGAAATTACTATGTCTACAAACTTATAAGGCCAAATCGAATGATCCCAGCCCCTGCATATTGTGCAGGTGCAGTCAATTTCCTTCATATTGTACAATAGTTGTTAGCATGTTGTCACAAAATAAAAGTATACTCTTCTCAGGAACATTTAAATAGTGTTATTTTAGTGGAATTGATATACTATTGTAGTATTTATTCATATTAGAATATTTTATTTTTATATATATTTTCAGTTTTAGAAATTTTGTTATGTGCTTTTTGTCATTTTTATTCATTTTTTGATATTTCTATTGTTTTATTTCAGTTTTAGTTTGTCATTTTAGTACTTAAGCTTAAACTTATTTCAGTAATTTATATTTCAATTAATGAAAATAATTTTAATAGTTTTATTTAACAATAAAAACACTGATTTGAACAGTAAATCAATTATTAAACCGTGAAATGTAATCCATTGTTTTGTTTTTGTCCAGTTGTTATTGTAGTTTATGAAGTGTTTAAAATTACATATACAATTACGGCGCCACTAAAGTGACATCTGAGTGTGCATGTTATCATTTCATTTTTTTATGTATACATGATCTAGTTTTCTCAAGCACATGCTGTCGTTTTTTTTTTTTTTTTGTAGGCATATAAAATTTATTCAGTATACCCGAAAGTCTTGGTGTTTGAAATCAATTTACAAAACCACTGCTGGAGCAAATACACATATGTCTACAGAACCACATGACTACTGATATATAGACCTTGTGACAACTAGCAACTTGCTATGAGTAACGAATAACTATGTATTCTCTTTCATTTTCCTTAACAGTGGTTCTCACCAGTCCACCAAGTTTTGACCCCTGCTACAGTTATAACAGTCGGGATGAGCCATGGAGGGCAAATACTATACCTGTGACTAATTTCAGTAATGCAAGATGTGATTATGATGTCAACTGGAACGGCTGGTACAGGCTGTTCTACAATGGTCAGAGTGTCCAGATGCCAGATTCATGTGTCAGTAGTGGCATGTGTGGCACTAATTCCCCACTCTGGCTCAATGGCCCTCACCCACAGCTGGCAGATGGAGTAGTCACACGACAAGTGTGCGCTTCCACATGGAATGACTGCTGTGGTTACAAATCTCCTCCCATACGAGTCAAAGGTTGTCCAGGAAACTATTATGTGTATGAGTTTGTCAGACCACTATACTGTTCAGCTTACTGTGCAGGTAGACACATTGTGTTGTGTTCTTTTTAATATATAATATTAAGAAAAATAATTAAAAAAATAGACTGACAGCAATGTATAATTATTTGTCCCAGACCTTACCCAGACATCAGTGTACACAACAGCAACCGAGGCAATCCTACTCACAGAATCCAGTGGTAAAGTATTTCACGTCATATGTTCATTGGAGATTTGAGTTTGTCATGGCACTATATTGTGCAGGTAGACTCAAAGATTACAGTCTTTTAATGTTGTGTGTGTGTCTGTGTCTGTCTGTCTGTAATTGACATTAATATGTACATTTTCACCATATCAAATATCACAAACCTTAACTCATCATCACTGTATCAGGGTTATTATCAATAACTAAAACTGAAACTCAAGCTATCAAAAACATTTTTTGTTATTGAAAAAACAAACAAACATATGCTAAGTGAGATAAAATAACACACACACACACACACACACACACACAGACTAAAACTGAAACTCAAGCTATCAAAAACATTTTTTGTTATTAAAAAAAAAAACAAACAAACAAACATATGCTAAGTGAGATAAAATAACACACACACACACACACACGGTGGTAAAGTATTTTTATATGTTTACATGATTTTTATCTTGTCATGGCACTATATGCTTTATGTTCCTGTGAAACATCTTGTGTGACTACATGACATGTTCTCACAAAACTATGGCTAAAATATGAAAACATGCCCTCAAACACCACTAAAACAAGCTTAAAGTTTGCCCCAGCGTTTCTCATTAGTCCTGTTGTTCTCCTCTTCGGTGAAGGAGACTCCTGTCATGAGCTCAACTGCACTGAGAATGAACGGTGTGAAGAGAAACATGGTGTTTACGGCTGTTCCTGCAAGGAAAATCATCACAGACCTCAGCATGACTCCTTTGGTTCGACTCAATCCACAACAACATTTCAAATATATACTGTATATGTTCATCATTAATTATTTTATTTATTTATTTTTTAACACTGCTAACATTCTCTTGGGTATTTTCTCTCTCAGATTTAATTAAAACCTGTGAAAGCAGCTCTGGCTCCATGTCTCTGTCTCGCTGTCAGCTCTTTGAGGCTGGTTTTCCTTCTGACATTTTACACCTCAATGACCCCAGCTGCAGAGGAACAGTCTGGAACGACAGAGTGGAGTTCTATTTTGACAACAATGACCACATCTGTGGCACAAATCTTGTGGTAGGATTCATTATGTACATCCTTGATAGGTCAAAAGAACAACAAATCCTTTTTTAATTATTTTATAGTTCTTTAAAAAGTCCCTTAAAGTACAACTATTCAAATAATATGTCCCTACAGGCCAATAGCACCCACTTAATCTATGAGAACTTTATTGTGGGGGAGCCAAACTTAGTTGGGCATCACATCAGCAGGGAAAGAATTCTCAAGCTTCCTTTCAGCTGTGTTTACTTACAAACCCAAATACTCTCCACAGACATCAATCCTCTGGAGAAGTGAGACACACCTATTATTAAGAATAAATAATTTCTAAATACATAAATAGAACCAGGAGTCTCTAAATTTCTGATTATTTGTCTGTTATTTCAACAGCACTGTGCAGTGTGCACATGAACCTTCCTGCTGCTCAAGGGACATATCAGGTCAGGATGATTTCATATCAGGATGCTGAATTCTCCCACCCCTTCACTGGTAGTGTGAACGCAGAGCTGAATGAACACATATTTGTGGAAGTTCGTGTTGATGGAGTTGACAGCCGTCAGTTTGCCTCAGTGATTGACACGTGTTGGGCTACACCTGTGAATGATCCTCATTACCCTCTCCGCTGGGACCTCATTGTTGACATGTAAACCATGTTTATTTTATTTCATGTTATTTTATTTTCACAAGAACTCATATTTAGTTATATATAATTTATTTATTTATTTATATTTATAATATATATATATTAACCAAAATAAAAGTGATTGAAATCATTTGTTTTAAATTCAACTTTAAATTTCAGCACTGAACACACTAACAACAGAAATGTACCAAGGCATTTTATGTTTTTTTTTTCTCAGATTCCTTTAGTGTCCACACTTTTTTGATTATAAAACTACACACACACACACACACGTCTGGTTTGCTATCCTTGTGGGGATGCTCCATAGGCGTAATAGTTTTTCTACTGTACAGGCCGTATATTCTATCACCCTACACCAACCCTACACCTAAACCTACCCCTTACAGGAAACTTTCTGCATTTTTAGATTTTCAAAAAACTTCATTCTGTGTGATTTATTAGCTTGTTTACCCGTGGGGACCTCAATTTAGGTCCCCACCGTGACATGAGTCCCCATGAGTCTGTGTGTATTCAGGTTTAAGTCCACACCAGAATAGAAAAACAGGTACACACACACATTATACATTTAGAAGTTATGATATATATATATATATATATATATACGCACACACACATGTATGTATATATATACGTGTATATATACACTGAACAAAATTATAAACGCAACACTTTTGTT